GATAGATAGATAGATAGATAGATAGATAGATAGATAGATAGATAGATGGGTTGGATAGATAGAGGATGGATAAAAGGATGGAGGAAGAGAGGGATGGAGGGATAGATGGTTTCTAATATCAGTGTTTCAATTAACTTCTAGACCATATTTGAAGATGTTAGTGGCTTTGGTGCCTGGCATCGAAGGTGGTGTGTTCTCTCTGGCAACTGTATCTCTTACTGGACTTACCCAGATGATGAGAGGCGAAAGGTAATTGACACAACTCAAGTCGGTGGGGAAAGTCCTGCTGTGTTTCTATGATGCTTCATGAATGCCTGTTCCCTGTCCCCACTCCTTAGATTCCCTTCTGTATGAATTAATGACAAATAACTGTTCGTGTTCTGGCTGTATGCCCTCCTATAGCTAGCAATATATAGTAGTAACTATGTATTCATCCATGAATCATTTCCCTGACCCTCCTACTCCCACCCAGCTAGTGCTGGAGACTGAGCCCACAGCCTTGTGTCTGGTACACCGGCTCGGCAAGGATGGTGCTGCTTGCCTAAATCCCCAAACTATGAGTTTGTCTTTTTCAAACACAAACAAATACTTTTTAAAATTAACTTTTCTTCGATAAAATATCCTGATATCTTTCTAAAGCAATAGACTTACCTATAATGTTTTTAATAGTTATGAAGTAGCATTACATTATAGTTATTAAAATTATGAATTTTTGTAAAAGGATTTATTTTTATTTTATGTGTATAAGTGTACTGCCTACATGTATGTCTGCCCTACATGTGTGCCTGGTGCCCATGGAGGCCAGTAGAGGGCATCAGATCCCCCTGTGACTGAAGTGCTGGTGGTTGTGGTCTTCTGAAAGAACAGTGAGCACTCTTAACCACTGGGCCATCTCTCCAGGCTCTCAAATTATTATTTTTTAAAAATATATTCTAAAACATTTAAGAGATTCAAGAAAGCACTTAAAAAAATGATTCGTGTGAGCTCTCCAGTTGAGACTCCCCATATGACTTTCTCTTCTGCCAGAGATGCTGCCTGTGGTGGGAGTGCACAGCGCCTTTGTGGTTCTTAGCATTTAGTTGTGTCATTCTAACTAGTACATGAATGATCACACACACACACACACACACCATCCGGTCAGTGTGGGATGTGCAGTGGTCTAGGTTGGCATGTTGCCCTAGTTTGTTCCTTTTCTTCTGAAGTATAAGATTCCATTGTATAGACATGTCACAGTGAATTGATTGGTTGTGTTTGTGCATTGCCACATTTAAATGCAGCAGTGTGGCTTTTGATAAGGCCAGTGAGGTTGAAGACAGAGGGTGTGAGGAACCTGAACTCTAACAGTTCATGCATGGAGCAAGGTCATGAAGGTGAAGAAAGAGCCCAAGGCTTCCGATACGGGGGTGAGTGGACTGCATAGAGGAGTGTGCTCCTTGAGAACTTGTGTGATGCTGTCGTGTTGCACGTCAGTTGCTGTTGTTGTCAGAGGTGTACAGAGAGGGGCTAGGATTTGAGTCAGTAGGTGAAGCAGACTTTGAATCAGATACATCAGACATACTTTTCCTCTCTTAGTAGCTCTATTCACAATTGAGTCTGTAGATGGAACTACATGTTCTCCAAAAAGTTCTCCATTCTCATGAATACTTTTGTTATCACCAGCTTTTGTCAGTATGAGTGAGACATACATTCTTTGTGTTTGTCTTTGCGTCTTCATTACTAGAGTAGCACCTTGTCTTCTGTGTATGGCCTTTGTGATGATTTGAATGAGGATCATATATTTGGATACATGGACTTGGGTTGGTGAAACTGTTTTGGAAGGATTAGGAAGTATACGGGCTAATTTTCTTTTTCAGCTTAATTCAAACTAAAGTGATCTGAAATGAGGGAACCTTAATTGAGAAATCCAGCTGTGAGGCATTTTCTTAATTAGAGATTGATCCAGGCGGGCCCAACTTATTTGTGGGAGGGGCCATCCCTGGTGGTCCTAGGTTCTGTAAGAAAGCAGTCTGAGCAAGCCATGAGAAGCAAACCAGTAAACAGCACCCCTCCTTGGCCTTTGCTTCAGCTCCTGCCTCCAGGTTCCTGTTTGAGTTCCTGTCCTGACTTCCTTTGATGAGGAACTGGAAGTGTAAGCCAAATCAACCCTATCCTTCCCTAGCTGTTTTGGCCATGGTGTTCCATCACAGCAACAGAAACCCTAACTAAGACAGGAAGTGTGGTCCTTTTGAAGGTGTGTCACTTTGAGGTTTTAAAATCCCATGCCATTCCCAGTTACCTCTTTCTGCCTCCAGCTTGAGGATCAGATGTAAGCTCTTAGCTACTGCTCCAGCGCCATTCCCAATTGCCTGCTGCCATGCTCCTTGCCATGATAATCATAGACTCTGACTATCTAACCCTCAGGAGCCATGAGCTACCCCCAACATTTTCTTTTATAAGTTGTCTTGGTTGTGTTCTTTGTCACAGCAATAGAAAAGTACCTAAGACAGCCATTCATATCTTTGTCTCACATTGATCAATTTTTCTCTCTGTCTCTTTTTGGACTAGGGTCTTGCCATGTAACCCAGAGAGTCCTATAATTGAGATCCTCCTGATCCTACCTTCTTTTCAAGGTCTGGGATCACAAGCATGTGCCACTATACCAGGCACTAATTTTCTCTCAATTCATTATCTTTTTTTTTTTGAAAATTGAAATTATGCCAGGCAGTGGTGGCGCACGCCTTTAATCCCAGCACTTGGGAGGCAGAGGCAGGCAGATTTCTGAGTTCGAGGCCAGCCTGGTCTACAGAGTGAGTTCCAGGACAGCAAAAGCTACACAGAGAAACCCTGTCTCAAAAAACCAAAAAAAAAAAAAAAAGAAAGAAAGAAAGAAAATTGAAATGACACTTCACTAGTCTTTGGTTTGACTTCACTTTCTATTGTTAAGGGATTGGATCTATCAGCCTATTATATTGCTTACTTGTACTGCTTTGTCTTAACATCACAAAGCAAAACAAAGACCGTCCTTACCTTGCACTCAGAAAAATTCCTTTTTGTTTTCTGTATTTACTCCAGGTCATGTACTCACATCTGTACTTGGAACTGTTTGCTGCAGATGAGAGATAGAGCATACAGTGTCTGTCTTTCTGGGTCCAGTGTACTTCACTTAGTATATTTTCTTGTTGCGTCTGTCTGAAGATCTCATTTTGTTTTTACAGTTGAATAGTATTCCATACTGTTTATGTACCACATTGTCATTATCCCTTGATCAGTTGAAGGACATTTAGACTGTCTCCATTTCCTACCTATTGTGAGTTGAACAGCGATAAACATGGCTGAGCAAGTATCTGGATAGGACCTCCAGTTCTTTGAGCATATGCCAAGGAGTGTATAGCTGGGTCTGGCGCCTGATTCATTTCAGGTGCCATAATAATCTTCTGACTTCATCCTTGTTCATCTTTCACAAAGCACAAAGCTGCTTTCACTCAGACCCACCCATTGTGTATGATGCCCCAGTGTTTAATTAATTCATATTCTGATGGTCCTTTGTGTTCTTTCCATAGCATAACTGTTACGAGCAATTCTGCAATGAGATCTCTTTGACATACTGGTTTTATTTCCAGAACAATCTCACTAATTCCTCTAGTGGGACTGTTGTATCATATGGTAATTCTATTTAAGAAATTTAGAGGAACCTTCTATTATCTAAAATGAATTTATATTGTTTTCTAATGATTTACAATGTCTTTGGATGTGTGTGTAGTGTATTTGTGAGTGCTTGTTCAAATGTGGGGACACATATTGGATATGCACAGAAAGTCACAAGGTGATCAATATGGGGTTATCCTAAAAGTTTGCATGGGAGCACAGATGTGTACTATTGAGTGAGGATGCACCCAACCCAGGCGGGGGGGATCAGGCCATTGCCTGTAGTTCCTGGATTGTGTTCCTTTGTGTTTGAAAATAATCTGGCCGTTATTAAGTGGTTGGTAAGTGGGGAACATTTTCCCATTATTTAAAGCAAGTATATGTGCAGCCTGATGCAGGTAAGGGGTCCTAGATCGTCAGTTGTTGGCTAGAGCATTGTTCAGTGAGGGACGTGTGCATGACTTAAGCTAGGTGAGTGAAGTTCCAGGCTGCTAAGCTGTTTCCTGTGCTTAGCTGCTTCATGGTTATTTGTTTCCTGGTTGTTAAACAGTTTAAGCTAATAGCTTTTTAACTTTAATTTATAAACTTAAAAACTGGTTAATGCTTACTGACTTAAATAACCTTGCTTGTTTTTACTAATACTTTGTACATTTAATTTTTACAGAATCCCATAGGAAGGATAAATCTGGCCAATTGTATCAGTCATCAGATAGAACCAGCCAACAGAGAATTTTGTGCAAGACGTAACACTCTGGAATTAATTACTGTCCGACCACAAAGAGAAGATGACCGAGAGACTCTTGTCAGTCAATGCAGGGACACCCTCTGTGTCACCAAGTATGTACTGGTACTATACTTATTTCTGGTTTTCTTCTTAGCATATGGAAAATGTCAGTGATGTCAAATTCATCACTGAGTATAGACACCATGGCCAAAAACAATTTGAAGAAAGGGTTTATTTGGCTTTCCCTTCCACATCACAGTCCATCACTGAGGGAGGTCAGTGCAGGAACTCAAGTAGGAGCCTGGAGACAGGAACAGCTCGTTATACTGTCTTGAACCCACAGCACCTGCCCAGGGCTAGGCCCACCCACATCAGTTCTTAGTCCAGACAGCGCCTGCACAGAGTTACCTGCAGGCCAGTCTGATGGTTTTTTCAGTTGAGCTTTCCTTTTCCCATGTTACCTTAGCTTATGTCAAGGGAGCAAAGAGTCTACCCAATACAAACGCCCAAGGGTATTAGAATGTGACACAGTCTTTATGCTTAAAGAAAAAAGGAAACACTAAGAAATTAGTGTGATTTATAATTAGTTAACCCAGTCAAGAATGGTGGTACACCATGGTACAGAGAAGCACTTCCTTGCGTGGCTATTGATTTGCATCCAATTATTGGCAGGCAGCAAGTCTTGGTTTGTTGAAGGATTTATGTTTCCAAGCAGAGGCATGGAGGGGGCATGGGATGGTGGGATGGAAGCTGACCTCTGTTTGCCCTGGCAGGAACTGGCTCTCTGCCGATACTAAAGAAGAACGGGATCTCTGGATGCAGAAGCTCAACCAGGTTATTGTTGATGTTCGCCTCTGGCAGCCTGATGCATGCTACAAGCCTGTGGGAAAGCCTTAAACCAAGGGGGCTGCTATACCATGCCAGACTTTGCTAGCTGTGTCAAAAGTGTCTTAAGAAGACATAGTTAGGAGCACCAGATTTGCAAGTTGTATTTTATGCTTTAAATATAAAAGGGTATGTGCAAATATTCACTACATATTATGCAGTATTTATATCTTTCCTATGTAAAACTTCACCCAGTTTGTCTTGGATTCATACGTGTTTGACAGTATAACTATTCATGAGAATTGATATTCATGCTAAATATAACATTAAGAGCCTCAGTTGTAGAAACCTCACTAGCCACTTATTCATGACAAAAAGTATATATTGTAATCAAGTTCTGAGCTGCCCTTTGGAGCTGTGGGCTTTAAGGTATTCAGGTATCCTGCAGGTTGCAAACAGAAACATCTAGTTTGATGAGTCCTTCTCCAGCCTCGGTAGGTTTTTATAAAGGTTGTGGCCATTCATGGCTCATGATATGTCTAGAGTACTGAATGCAATCTCAGAGGGTTTCCAGGACACGTGTAGTAAGGAGATGAGAAAAAAACAACAAACATTTACTAGCTTAAGCTAGTTGGAGCTGCTTTCTGAAGAGCTGTGGCAATGACATAGTGACATCTGGGGCTGAATATTCTATGCAGAAGCAGTAAGAATCACACAGCTTTCATTCACTCCGATCCTGTGTGCAGTGCGGGGCACATTTTCACAGTGTTCAGGCTTTGTTAAATAGTTATTTTTCATAAAGTTTAGAGTCCTCATATTAACATATTAGCTTTTTCCCTTACAATAAGAACAAATGTAAATTGAAGAACACATACATAAGAACCTTTACCAAGCTGCTGTGACTACTCCTTTGCTTCCCAGAGTTCTTGTCTTATTTTCCTTTCCTGTTTATTTATGACACTTTCTACAAATCTGTTTTGAAATCACTAAAAAATATAGTAAGCTATGTATTACCTTTAAAAGCCCAACACCTTCTAGCAATTAAAAAATATTGAAATACATGGCTTCAGCTTTTAAATACATTTTGTATTTCTTCTCTGACTGTTAATTATTGATGGTTTCATTTATAAACACTAAATTCTATCACTTGCCATTATATTTCTTACTCATTTAAATGTGGATTGTCTCATGTATATTATAAAAGTATTTTATGACCGCCTACATAAATAAATAACTGTAAATTGTCAAAAACATCAGTTTTTTAAGAAATCTTCTGTGTGATGTATTGCTGTATATGTCCTGGTTGTGTGTGGGAGAATGTGCTGGCAGTATGCCGTCTATATCTGCATATCTAGCCTAGTCTTTGTCTTACGGAATGATCTTGGGGTTGGTGTTAGGTAAGCAGGTGTGTGAAGGACCCTTTGTGGGGATGTCAGCAGTGTGGTGATGAGGCGCACGTCTGAGGAGGGGGTGGGCGAGACTGAGTGGTCAGCAGCTGGAACAGGAGCAGCTTGAAAGGACTGATGAGGTGATTATGGGCAATGGCCCATTTCATTTCTCCTTTTTGCTTTGATTTTCCTTCTAGACAGGATTTCTTTGTGTAGCCCTTGACTGTCCATCCTAGAACTTGCTCTGTAGACTGGGCTAGCCTGCCTCTGCCTCCCAAGTAATGGGATTAAAAGTGTGTGCCACCACCACCCAACTCCATAGAAAGGACTTGTCTTTATACAAGTTGACAGACTTGTATCCCAACAGCTTGAGAGCACGAGGAAGTGACTCGATGTCGTCTCTTGTTCTCAGGCTTACCTTTTTACTTCTCACAGCATAGACTGTGTGCATAGCCCTTACAGACATGTACAGTCTTCTCTATGTAAGTGTTCTGCACACACTGCTTGTAATAAAGGATCTCGTAAAGGTCCTCTCAGTTTGTATATGAAATTTTGCTTAAGAGGTTTACAATATATGTTCATTGCTTTTAATGGTTAATGAAACAATCTAAAATCACCTGAGTAGGAAGAATTCATGAGGGATTCGCTAGTTGAAGTTGGCCTGTGGGCACTTCTGTGGAGGATTTTCTTTTAATTTATATATTTATCTGTGTGTGTGCATGTGTGAAAGAGAGGCCATGTATGAAAATATGCAATCCTTTATTATTATGTGTACTATGTTAACATATGCTAATATATTCTAAAACTCTGTTCTTACAAATATCTGTAGATAAAGGTAAACACAAAAGGTAGATATTCATGACATGATAATAAAAGAATTAATGTGCAAAATATAAAAGACTGGCTGTCATTGAGCATTTATCATATATCCAGGTTATCTTTGGTGTTAACATGTATTATTTTACCAACCTAATAAAATGAACATTAACAGTAAACGAACAATTCTGGAACAACATTGCAAGTGACAGACCTATGTAAGCCTGTGTTCTGTTCCAGAGTCCACATGTTTCACTCTTATACTGTGATAGTTCTCAAATTAGTGAGTAAATGAATATTTAGCCTGGGTAAATAATATTACCAGTAAGGAAAATCACAAACAAAAATCCAAAGATCAAACAAGTGTAAAAGTAATAAATTAACAGAAGAAAAACAAATATAAATGGCCACTCTTGGTGAGAATAGGAAGTGACACAGCTTTTTGATAAGAGCTTCTTTTTTTTTTTTTTTTTGGTTTTTGGAGACAGGGTTTCTCTGTGTAGCCCTTGCTGTCCTGGAACTCACTCTGTAGACCAGGCTGGCCTCGAACTCAGAAATCTGCCTGCCTCTGCCTCCCAAGTGCTGGGATTAAAGGTGTGCACCACCACCGCCCGGGTTTCGTATGGTTATAATGAGAATATTTTCATTGTATTGGATATTTTGTAATGGACTTGGGAAAACTTTAAAAATTATAAGTCAGATTGAAGAATTGAGTTAAGTAGTGAGGCAAGTGTAGAACTGGCTGTGGAGTCGTGAGGTGGGGATCCAATGGGAGTTCATGGCAAACGGTGATGGGAGGTTACGTTTGGAAGGAGAAATGGCTGCTACAGGGCAGAGAGAACCAAAAGGAAAGGGACCCTCAGAAATACTGATGAAGGGGCACTGTAGGATGGGAGCTGAATGTGGGTGCAGGGTAAGAAAGAGGTTGAGTCCAGAACCCAGCAGCTACCCTTTATTGAGAACTGGGTACCTAGAATTAGCTGCCAGGGGGCCCAGGCAGGTGTAGAAGGCTTTGTGGGCCCTCAGCTTCCGGGTCCATAAAATGGTGGGGACCACCTCAAGGCAGAGGAAATTGCAGGGTGGGAAACTGCACAACTGCTTCAAAAGACAGCCAGGGATCACCAACCTTAGCTGGTAAGGAGACTTCAAAGGTCTAATCCTAGCCAGAGATTCCTCAAATAATTTATACTTTCAAGAGACTAAAGACCCAATCTACCACCTTTCTGTTTTTCATTTTCATAATGGAATTTCACATCAGTCTAAGTATGTGGTTGCTGAGATAGCCCATGTGTTATTGGGCAGCCTGGGCTAGAGACCAAAAGCCTCTCTCAAAAGAATTAATAAGGAGTTTAATGTTTCAACGTAAGTTATGTAGGCTGTAACTTCATCATTTGGGGAAGATTAACACTTCGTATTCCCCACATGTAATGTTATATTTTTTGATCAAACTAAAAGAATCTAAGTACAATTGCAATTTGATTGTCCCAGCATCTGTTTAAAAAAGTACATGGATGGCGACAGAGAGGTGGCTCAGTGTTTAAGAACACATACTGCTCTTGCAGAGTGCCAGGGTTCAAGCCCTAACATCTACATGGGGTAGCTCACAACCTGTATCTCCAGCTCCAGGGGAATCTACCCTCAGGTATACATAATCAAAAGTAAAGTTTTTTAAATACATGAGCAAAGCCTATTGACTTGGTCTCCTTTATTCAGTTTTCGCACGTAGTTGTATAATAATGTAATTTATATTTTTTGAGTGAAATACATAAAGAACTTTCATATTTTAAATGTTGAAAATTCTAAATGGAATTATTACACTTATTATTATTAATGATCAACTACACATTTGAAGTAGTTAAAGAGTAAAACTTGATGAGAAATGTATCTTGGGCTGGCTCAGCAAGGTGCCTGACGGCAACCCTAGCAACCTGAGTTTAATCCTTGAGACCCAAGAGAGTGGAGGACGAGGACCAACTCCTCTTAAATTGTTCTCTGACCTCTACACATGCTCCTGGAGTAGAATAAGGTAGAAAAGACCAATTATTAAATAGTGATTTACTTAGTGATTCACTGTCGGTGTTGCTTATTGTCAGACATAACTTTACCTGAAACAGACGGACCTGGAAAGGGCCCAAAGCCATTGTTAAAAAGGAGAAATAGAGCTGGGTAGTGGTGGTGCACACTTTTAACCCCACTACTTAGGAGGCATGTGCAGGCAGAGTTTGAGTCTAGCCCAGTCTACAGAGCTAGTTTGAGGACAGACAATCAAAGGCTACACAAAGTAACCCTGTCTAGAAGGAAATCAAAGAAAAGGGAGAAACGGTGGAAACGAAATGGGTCATTGCCCATTATAACCTAACCACAAAAGCTTACACCTGTCAGCTGTAACATATGCCTTTGAAAAATCACATATAACATTAATTAGTGGTTGCAGATTCTTCTTCTCCAAAGACCGTGAGTTCACTGGCACTTAGTAGTTAGCTAGGTTTCCAGTATGAGTGAAGGTATTCTTGTCGAGCAGGTATGTGTACAATTACTGCAGACAACCATTGGTTGCCATCAAGGTGTGTGTGCCACTACTGCACCATAGGCTTCTTGGGCCGTGTTAGTCATTGATGTGGTTCATAGGCATAGCTAGGTAAAACTTGGTTGCCTTCCTGCTTTAGAAGCTTGCATGACACCTTCTGCTACCATGAATGCTGGTCCTCAAGAAGGAGACCTTGAGGTCAGTTCTAGCTCATAGGCCTCTAAAGTGCATGGTGTCTTCAGCAATGGGGACTTACTTTCTACCATACTCAATATCTTTTCTGGTTCCATCCACTTATCTGCAAAGGTCATTGATTTCATTTTTCTTCACAGCTGAATAGTATTCTGGAGTGTGTGTGCACCACATTCTCAGCATAAAGGATGTTTGGGTTGATCCTGTTTCCTTTGTTTGTTTGTTTGTTTTTCAAGACAGGGTTTCTCTGTATAGCCCGGGCTGTCCTGGAACCTACTCTGTAGACCAGGCTGGCCTCGAACTCAGATATCCACCTGCCTCTGCCTCCCAAGTGCTAGGATTGAAGGTGTGCGCCACCACTGCCTGGCAATCCCATTTCCTATCTGCTGTGAATAGAAAGTTATTTCCTATATCAAGTACAGTG